CTGGTGAGGCTGTGGGCCTCAGATGACACCAGCATGCATTGCACAGGCTGCATGCTGTGGGGGTGGGCCCCTAGGACCCTCTCACTGCAAGGGCTGCTCCAGCAACATGCAGAACTCCATCCTCAGCCATGCAGGCTAGATTAGCAGGACCTGAACCACCAAGGAGGCAGCTGGACATAGAGCGCCTCTGGGCCCGGCTCCTGCAACTGCGCACCCCGCAGCCCCAGCTATATTAGCAGGACATGGACCACTCCTCCCCCCCTTCCCCCCCGCCACACACAGGCCTTTCCCCCTTGCACAGCAGTGGAAGAGGTGGCTGCTCAGGCCCATGCCCTATGTATTAACTGCTTGCAGACCCCATGTAGACTGTGGGCAACATCCTTGCCCTTTGTGGGCCACATGTGGCCTGCAGGTAGTCAGCTGGGCAGCCCTAATCTAGTCCAACCCCCTGCACAGAAAAATGATGTCCTGTTCCTAAGCTATACCAAACATACATACTTTCTGAAAAACTCAACTTCCCTAGGCACATTTCCAGACCCATTTCATTGTCACTTCCCGCAACTTCATTGGTGTCAAAGGTCATGTGACATAACTTCCTGATGTGATACCACCTCCTGTGAGGTCTTTGAATATGGCTCGCCAGCCCACTGGGTGATAAGTTCATGATCCAGCCCCACATTCAAAAAGGTTGGACACCCCTGTTTTATTGGGACACCTAGGTAGCATCCTTATTATCTGTGGAATGATGGTAGAATTCATTTTGATTTCATTGCAACTTCACAGTTAAACATTAGTGTTCCAACCTCAAAACGAGGACTTCTCCCAACTGTATGCAGTGCTATCAAATAACCCATATTCCACCTTGATGTAACTGGTGAATATTAACTGCAAGTCACTAGTTTTATTTTTAATACAATATTTTAATGTCTACTCACTTCCACATAGCAGCAGTTTTAAATAACAGTCTAGGAGTGGTAAGTCTTCTTGCCTGCCTTCCAAGGCTATCCTTATTAGTTGTAAGGCTCCTTTCCATCTTTTGTAATAAGGAAAGCAAACAACTGGTAGGTATTTCAGCTTTATTATTATTTTGCCAGAACATGCTTTAACCTGCTTTTGGTCCCAAGTCAATCTTTTTTATATTTGACATTCCATGTCATATAGATAAAAGATATTTAACTCCTTTCCGCTGAAGGGTAACATGAAAATTCTGTCCTTGGAGCAGATAGATATCTTCATTCTAAAATACCATCAGAAAGGCATCTAGTCTGTTCTTAGTAATATAGTGATCTACAGATAAAGTTAAGATAATTTCAGAAAGTGGTGATTGTAACAAGAAACTATTACCAGCATACCATATTGTTAAAAAGTCCATTTGAGCATTACCCCCTCATTAAAAGTCTGGTAAGGGTGTCAAGTTAGACTCTGTATCAATCCCTTATTTCTGATAATATGCCTCCAAAAAACGTACAGATGCAATGTGATATTAAAGTAAATCCATTTAAAACAATAAAAAAATGGTGATTTAATTTACAAAAAACGGTAAAATACAATTTATTTGAAAATGACAGTGGCTAAGCTAATATTCAGGGAATCCCTGAAGAATTATGAGTGGAATTTAGCTGACATTAGACATCACTTCTGCCTGACATCAGAAACAGTTTCAAAAGCTTATTGCAGTAGCATATCAGAGTAACAGTAAGAGTTGAAACTCATGTTTATACGTGTTGAAAAGAGCAAAAATTAAGAACACACAAATACCAAAGGTAATATTAGGAGTAAACCGTTGAAGCAAATAATGAAACACTACACTTAAAATAGAATTCTAAGGCCTCTTGGCAGAAATTACATTTATCATGCAATTAACATGTTATCAGCTGCAGAAAACCCTCAACTGCCAGACTTGAAATGGACATTTTGTGCCACACAGACCAATATCAACATCTCTTGCCTTGAACTCTAAACAGTGCCCACCATGTTCTGGTAATGAATACAGACTTCATCACCAAGTCTACCAACACCTAATGCACACCTGTATGAGCAGGCAGCTAGACACAATGATGTAGGTTCAGGACTAAGGGTGTGCACTGAACATTGTCTTATAGAGAACAATTAAACTGAAGTATGGGGAAGTGCAGTCATGCTAGATGGTAGGCTGGGGGTTCAGGCTGACCTGGATAGGCTTGCAAGGTGGACGGATCAAAACCTGATGACATTCAACAGCGCTAAATGTGAGGTGTTCCACCTTGGGAGAAAGAACCCACATCATACTTACAGGCTTAGCACTGCTCACTAGCACCACGACCGAAAGAGACTTGGGGGTCATCATTAATCACAAGATGAACATGAGCCACCAATGCGATGCTACAGCTGGCAAAGCAAATAAAACTCTGGCTTGCATCTACTGGTGCATCTCAAGCAAGACACAAGGAGTCATCCTTCTGCTTTACTCGGCCTTGGTGAGGCCGCAGCTAGAGTACTGCATCCAATTTTGGGCTCCTTTCCTTTAGAAAGGATGTGGAGAAGCTTCAACAGGCTCAAGGCATTAGTAGGAGAAGCAATGTGGGACCAGGGATGGAAGGCAAATGGGGTGCATGAAAAGTGGTCGTTCCACAAGGACATGATCCTCGAAGCACAAAAGAAAACCATTCCCATGAAGAGGAATGGTACCAGAAGGGCTGACAAGCCCTCCTGGCCCAATATGAACATTGTGGTCCTCTTGAAAAAGAAACGAGAGGAGTACATACAGCGGAAGCTAAAGACAGTCCTCAAGGAGGACTATACAACAGCGGTCCACACTTGTAGGGAAATGATTAGGAAAGATAAGGCAGCGATAGAGTTTAAGTTAGCCAAGGGAGCCAAGGAGCAGATGGAAAACAAAGATGGAAGCATGGGGCCCCTGCTTAACACCTCGGGACAGCTGGTAATGGACACTCAGGAAAAAACTGAACTCCTGAATGCCCACTTTGCCTCAGTATTTCACCAGACCAAGGGGCAAGACAAGCGAGATAAGGATCACAGGGGGCATGGTGGGAAGGACAGCCTTCCCATTGTGGATGCTGAGCTGGTGCAAAACCAACTAGAAAAGCTAGACATTTGTAAGTCAGCAGGACCATATGGACTTCACTCTTGCTGATGGAGCTGGCTGAGGTCACTGCAGAACCCCTGGCAAAACTCTTCAGAAATCATGGCGCACAGGGGAGAGGGCCAACATTGCGCCCATCTTTAAGAAGGGGAAGAGGGAGGACCTGGGCAACTATAAGAGAATCAGCCTAACCTCCATCCCAAGGAAAATCCTGGAAAAACTCATTAAAGAACCTATGTGCAATACGCTTGTTGAGGGTAAGATTCTGAACAACAGCCAGCATGGTTTCGTCACGGGTAGGTCTGGTCTTACCAATCTCGTCTCCTCCAATGAACAGGTCTCTTGCCACCTGGACACAGGAGAGAAGGTTGACGTTATATACCTAGACTTCCAAAAGGCTTTTGATCTAGTATCCCATGATATCCTTGTGGAAAAATTGAATGAGTGTTGGCTTAACTGCTCAACAGTTCAGTGGTTGGAAAACTGGCTGCATGGTAGAACCCAGGGAGTTCTCATGAATGGATCTCTGTTGTCCTGGCAAGGAGCTGCCAGTGGTGTGCCTCAGGAGTCCATGCTTGGACCAGTGCTTTTCAACATCTTTATCAATGATTTGGGCATGGGGGTGACAAGCTCTCTGGCCAAGTTTGGGGACAACACCAAGTTATGGGGAAGCGTGGTCATGCCAGAAAACAGGTTGCAGATACAGGTGGAGCTGGACAGGCTAGAGAGCTGGGCAGAGCGGAACCAAGTGAAGTTTAACACTCAGAAGCGTAAAGTGCTCCATCTTGGGGCAAACAATCCCCAACATACCTACAGGCTCAGTGGCAACAATCTGACATGCACCACAACTGAAAGGGACCTAGGGGTAGTGATCAACTATCACATGAACATGAGCCTGCAGGGCAATGCTGTGGCCATCAGGGCAAACAACACGCTGGCATGCATTAACCATTGCATTCCATGCAAAACTAAGGAAGTGATACTCCCACTGTACTCTACACTGGTGAGACCGCAGCTGTCCAGTTCTGGGCACCACATTTTAATAAGGACATGGAAAAACTTGAGAGGGTCCAGAGAACACCCGTATGATCAGGGACTTGCAAGACAAGCCATACAAGAAGAGGCTGAGGGACTTGGGCCTCTTCAGCCTACAAAAGAGAAGGCTGAGAGGGGACTTGGTAGTGGTTTACCGCTACATCAGGGAAGTACATCAAGAACTTGGTGAACAGCTGTTCACCAGGGCACCCCTGGGGAAGACAAGGAGCAATGGATGTAAACTCCTGGAAGGTTGCTTTAGGCTCAATTACAGGAGAAACTCCTTCACAGTCCAGGTGTCCAGACTGTGGAATAAAACTCCCTCTGGTGGTAGTGCAGTCACCTTCCCTGGAAATCTTCAAAAGGAGACCGGACAGTCACCTCACTGGGGTTACTTGACCCCAGCTGTCTTTTCCTCCCTTGTGCATGGGAACTGGACCTGATGACCTACAAGGTCCCTTCCAGCCCCTAACAATCTATGAATTTAAGCTTGACAGAGTCCAGAGGAGAGCCACACACCTGATTAGAAGTCGAAGAGAGTGGGCCTTATGAGGAAAGGCTGAGGCATGGGACTCTGTCTGGAAAAAAGAAGGCTCAGGGGTGACTTGGTGGCAGCCTATAAGTATATAAGGGATGTGCATCAGGAACTGGGAGAACATCTGTTCACCAGGGCACCCCAAGGGAAGACAAGATCTAATGGTCATAAACTGCTGGAAGACCATTTTAGACTGGACATAAGGAAAAACTTCTTTACCATCTGAGTCTCTGGAGTCTAGAATAGACTCCTCCCAGAAGTGGTACAAGCATCTAGTCTGGATACGCTCAAGAAATGCGTGGATGCTCACGTTGCTGGGGTCCTGAACCCAGCTGACTTCCCGCCCTTTGGGCAGGGGCCTGCACCCAACAATCTCGCGAGGTCCCTTCCAGCCCTAATGTCTATGAAATCTATGAAACTATGGCACATTCCTTCCTAACACGTTCTACTGAAAATGGCTACAAATGAGGATGGCTTGTTCTAGAACCAGCCACAGACTGCTGATTACTGAAAAAAAGTATAGACTGATGGGAGAAGGGAGACATCAGCAAAAGTATAAGAAATTCAGGAAGAGGAAGGGCACTTTCCTTGAAATCTGTGCCAAGCTAGCCCAACAGCTGCTGAAGCAGATCACCAACATTAAAATCTCTAACTGTGAAGAAGTGAACAGCAATAGTGACTTGGAGGGTAGTAATATTTGACTGTTACTGAGCCATTGTGGTATGAGCAACTGCTGCTGAAACACTGTGTGTAAGGAGTACACAGCCATAAAGAAGGGTTTTGAGTCTTTCCTCCTGACACTTTCAACCCTTCCCCCTAGTTAGGTGGGGGTGATTAGTGGGAAGCACAGTGCAATTGTTTCTCTTACCTTCCAGGATACATCAGTGCTTTTCTGCATCATGCTGCTGAGTATTGTGGCCCACAGTGGGAACCTGAACCATGCCAGTGCCACACTGTACATGTCCAGCCCTACTGGTCTACTCATTCGATCTGGACATCTGCTATGTAACTACCATCCTGTGGAACTGCTGTGATTCTTTTATACTGGACTTGTGCCAAAATATAAGTATGTGCTTGGTGATTAATAAAGCTCTTTTAACAAGCAAAAGGTCTTATATCTAGCAAAAACAAAAACCTAGCCACACCGTGAACAACAAAATGCACTGAAATCATAGAGTCTTCAAAAGACTGGAATTAGGGCAGAGTGCAAGACAGAAAACTGCTTAACTTTATGAACAGCACAGGAACTTTAAATCCAGCAGGAGGAAATCCTCAGCCTCAGAAAAAAGACTCCCCCCTGCCCCTTGCAAGGTCCAGGGCCCTATGGACTTGAGTGAGAGGCATCAGGTTGGCACGAAGGAGGGAAAGAAGCTGTTTTCCCTGTCTCTGGTAGGGGAAAAGCAGCCTAGGGTTCTGCTGTCCATGTTATTAACCCTAGAAATCTGTTTTCACCAGGTGCTGCAGCATGTTGAGTAACTGGACCCCTACATTAAAAGCAGCTGCTGAAGACATTCATAGCAAAGGAGCTACAGTGGAACTTCCTCATCTGGCAGGTTATGCAGTCCAGTATCAAGCACTTCATTTACAGCTCAAATTAGAGGCTTCCCCAGAGAAACTCCAATGTCTCTTTTACCACAGTCACTGCTTCCTTGGTCACTCCAGAGCCCTCTTGACCAGGTTCTGCATCACTGTTCTTGCCTGGCTCATGTCCTGCTGCAAAATCTCCACACAATGGTCCTTGAACTGTTCCATCTAGACCTTTTAGAGAAATCCACCAAATCTCTTCCCAGCTCTTCCTCTGTCCTCTTCTTCCATTACTCATGTGCACCAGGGTACTGGGTGTCAGTGCTTGCAACTCTTAAGCTGTAGGAGCTGCAGCTGCTGACCCTGGAAGCAGAGAAATGTACTGAATGGTCACTGTTCAATCCTCTGCTTCAGAAATCCTTTTCTTTCCTATAATTTGTGGGATGCCATACCCAGAACCTTTTCTGAATAACTTGATCTGAGGCTGGACTCCTAAAAGGAGTGCATGTGTTTCTCCACACTTCCCAAAAAGTGGGAATACACTTCTAGGTCATGAGTGTGAGCAAGCAGCTGGGAAAGGGTGGGAAATGCTCTTGGGCATGCAAGTGCCATGCGCATGATACCTCTCGATTTTCCCATGCAATCCCCATTTTGGGAAGAGGGAATCCTGGTGAATGTGACAGAAGTGCAGCAGAAGTATGTGTTCGAAGCCAAAGAGAATCTTGCTAAATAAGCTTTGTTTATGCACCAGGATGATACCCATTGAGGTCTTAAGAGGAGTGGGAAGCAAAGCCAATTATTCAGCAACTGTCGACAAACCTTCACCTTCTTCCAGCAATATAAAAGCTTGGCCACAGCACTACACCTGCACTTCATGTACACCTTTATCTCAAAGCTGTTGTGGTCCAAGACCTACAATAATCAAAGCAAGATGGGTTTGGAAGACGGTAAGCACAACTCAGGGCTTGGGGAGACTACGTTTGTGCTTGAATGTGCTGGTGTGCATACACCTGCTAATGAAACTGGCTGCACTAGAAAATAGTGCTGCTTTTAACTATCTGTATTCCACTTGTAAGTCTGCTTAGGTGCCCTTACAATAAGAGGCTAGATACTGAACACAACTTGCTTATTTCTGTGCTTGACACCCCAAAAAAGGGGAGTGAAAGTGATATGCCACTGCCAGTTCTCAGCTGTCATAGGTGTAGGACACAGGGTGCCAGACATTCACATGTGGTTATTGGCAGCTCACCTCTCTAGGGATATGCTTGTTCTCATCTATGAAAGACAGCTGCAGTGAGGCAAGGGTGACATGAATGAGCTGGCACAAAACACACATTCACTTACCGCCTTCATTGGTGTCTCCAGTGCTGAGGGATTTTCTGTCAAAGTCGATAAGGTGGTTGGCAGTGGGGCTGGACAGCTGAGGTTTGGTTTGACAAGACTGGACACCTCCAAACTCAGAGGCTTCCAGACTCTCCTTGAAAAGCTGAGGTAAAAGCTTGGGTTTCTGATTATCATAAAAGGCCTACCTCTCAGGATCCACCTCACTCTAAGGCTCCTCCATGTCATTCATGTATATCTAAGTCCACGTTTTGGCCAGATTCAATAATGAACTATGGCTCACTGCTGGTATCTGCTGCCAGGATCATGCCGAGCTCCCCATAAGACAGACGTGTATACAAATCTGGCAGTTGAGCGGAGGGCCTTGTCCCTGACAAACATCCCTGTTTGAGGTCCTTCACCTTTATCCTGCACTGCTGCTCATCCCATGGCTCTCAGCAGCCATCTGCACAGCAATGACATCCTAGGCGCCCTGGCTGTGCTGAATTTTTCAATGCCTGTTGCACTTTCACCTTGCTAGAGAGAAATGAGATTGAGGGTCTCCTTCTGGTTCCAGGAGTTAGCACAATGGTTAGAGGCAACCTTCTTGAGGAAAGCACCAGATAGCAAAGCTTAAGAGATGAAACATAGGGTAGGGGTGTTTCTGAAAAGGTTCTCCAATTCTTGAAGCACTTGAGCAAGAAACAGATTCCGAGTGTGCCAGATTAAAAAAGAAAAAAGAAACAGTTGAGGTCAGAGGAACGATCAGCCAGCTCAGCTTAGCTCAGAGAGTGTGCAAAACTATGTGGAATGACTTGATTGACCGAACAGCTAAGTCAAAGAGGAGCCACAGAAAGACCAATCCTAACCCAAGCCATTCTACACTAGTATGGTCTCATTTACACAGGTGTAAATCGGCTGAAAATTGAGCACAGCTACACTAGTTTCAAAGTGTGTGTAGTCTGTTTGTGGTGTTTTAGAACATTTAATTTGTCCAGACCCTTACGATGCTCTTAGCTGATAAACCTGTAAATACAGCCATACCCAATTACTTCTGACAGTATAAATCTGTCCAAATTTTTTTAAAATAAATTTATCTTTCCCAAGCAAGGATTTTTAAAAGCCTTAACTATAAACTTAAAAAAATCTTATTATCTATGACTAATTCAAAATTATATCCACATACCTACCAGTATTTTCTGTTGCAACCCTATATGAGACCCTATATGAGATATTTGTTGGAGCCTGAACAACCGACCTGATGGCAAATGTGCAAAAATGGTTCAGTACTGTATAGGAAGGTACACCACCCCTACATTGGGACTCTGTAAATACTGTGCTGTGAAGAGGAATGTCCAATTGTAATGGCACTCGGTGAAAAATAGCTTCACTGTAAAAGAACCATATACAATGTTGTCAAGTCAAAAGACAAAAAAATATTCCTTTCCTCCCTTCACTGCTCTTTACTACTCAAAACAAAACTCTCTAGTTAAACAGAAAAAGAGAACTGAAATGTTTGTGACATTTTGTTTCAAATTTCAAGAGGTTTTATTATATTTTCTGTGTTCAAGAAAAAAGTAATATCCAATGTTTTTTATTTACCTGTTCTTTGATATCTTGTAACTGTTGTTGAAGCTTCTGTACATCTGCATTAACATTAGTGTTGTCCTTGTCTTTCTGTAAAACTGGAATGTTTCCACTCGCTATAGTTCAGAGAAAATATTAAATATACATTATGTAGCACTAACAAAATGAAAATCTAATCTGTTGACACAAGGTATTTCTATTTATCTGAATTACAGAAATAGTACTCTTCAAACCTAATATATATGACGACTTCACTGGAATTTCAAACCTAAAACCGAAAATGTATTTGAATAGAACTTTTATAAGCTACTTTTCCCTGACAATTTTTCCCTGTGTTGTTGCTTAAGGTGCCAGCAGACACTTAGGGACCTGTCTTACACTAATGCTCTCATGGCTGTTACCAACAAGTGAAGTATGCTGGCAGATTTCTTTAGTATACTGCTACAGACTGTTCAAGATACTCATATTCTACCCAGCAGCAGAACTAGGGCTGGTCAAGAGGGGCACTAAGTTACGAAGGGCACCAGAATCATCCTCCACATCTAGAGTGCATGCCCCAGCTGCACTGCTATGGGAACTCCAAAATAGGTTTCTAACTGCTGTTCCACCCCTTTTCAAAGGCTGAGAATGAAGGCTGGATGAAAAAGCATGGGTTTTTGAGTCACTCACAAATATCATCAGTGGTATCTTCTGTACCTTTCCCACCGCAGCACATAATGAAAGGCACTCTCCTCTCAACCACAGCACGACACTGAACACACTTCTTCATCAGGCTTGCACAGTCTGAAAAAAGAAAAATAATTCATTCTGAAGTCTGGTAAATTTAGGCATTTTTATTTAAAACATTTACTCTACCCATGAGTTAATCTACCTATAAGATGAAGCAGTTTCTGCAAAATCCATTTGTGTTGTAAATATACATGTAATAAAAGCACAAAAGTTTATCTGTAAACTACACATTGTATGTGACCTACCTTAATTCCATGGAAAACCATTTCATTTATTTATTTTAATGTACTTTGAAAAAGCAACTTTCTGCAAATAAACAAGGACAAGAACTCCACTATTGGGATGAAGTGGCATTTGCTTTTCAGTTTCTTCTACTGTTTACCAGTGCTGCAGAACTTGTATACAAAGTCATATACATCTGGAAAGACAGCTTTTAAGACTTTCTCAACCACCTGCTTATTTCTACAGCCAAAAGTATCACTTGTCCTGGGAGCAGATGAACATAAGTATTTCTGAAGTCAAGTATGACGGAGGGTAAATCTATATCCTTTGTTTACATCACAGAAAAATGTAAAATTCTTCTGTAAGAAGTGAATGTTGCCTCATGATTGTAGCAACAGGATATCACAGTTTGGTATAAGAGTTCTTGTAAATAGTCTTTAAGAAGTGTAGAGGGACATTAACTTTGTCCTAATGGACTGCTCTTCCTTTCTTGTATCCTCCAACAAATCTAAGAATGAGCCTTTCAAATACACAGAGTCTCTATCCTCCTCGTAACAGCCTAGAAATTAGTGACAATGTATTTCAATGATCAATCATCACAGTAATCCATCTGCTTGATGTCCTCTGCTGTGAGAGTTGACCAAAAATCTTTCCCATCATATCTCAACTAAAGATAAATAAAGGAGCTCAGATCAGGATGGTAGTAAAGGCAGAGAGGCCAAAATTAATCGGATTTCCTTAATAAGCTGAAGCAAGTCATTCTCTCAGGAAGACTACCTCCCCTCATTTATGTAGCTCCAAAGCATCATCAAGCAATTGGTCTTCTCTGGACAACTGACCCTTCAGCAATGCCTCAGAAGTCCTGGTCACAAGATATTTCTACATCCTCATCTGGTTACATAAACAAGTGAAAGCCTCCAGAGACTTCCCTGACTGGTTTCCAGATCTTTCTCAGTTGCTGTATCAGACAAATCACAAGTCAGCAGAGTGATGTGTTGCAGAAGAATACTCTGACAAGTCTTTGGGGAAAAGATGACAGACCTTGTGGAATGCTACAAAGGTATGTAGTATTAATGGAATGCATAAAAATGTTTAATTATAAACTTATTTAAAAATTATTTAACTGCATTTATACTGCTGGATGCCCTGACAATACGGTTTATAATAAAAAAACCTAGTTAGAAACATGCAGCACAGGTAGGTGAAATATATGAATTTCCTAATTAATTACTTGCAGGGCAATGAACAGAGCTGTAGTTATCTAAATTCACTTACAGATAGGTGGTTTTACTGCACTGGAAGCAAAACCAAATTTGTAATTCATTCTATTATTAAGTGATTTATTAGTTAGTTTTTAGCAACTATTTTTAATAGGAATTCTTTGCTGCAAGATCTTTTTTTTCTGGAACCTGCTAGGTCTACTTACTCTCACAAGCACACATGTGACCACAAGGTTGGAAGAGTACTGCTGCCTTTTTGTCTGAACAGACTACACATTCTTCAATCTGTAAAGAAGAATAAGAGAATACATAACAGATTCATCTCCCATATTTCCTGCACTTATTGTAATTTGCTTACTTCCTTTATCAAGGCAGAGGCTTTAAAATGCTCCTTCCTGTTAGCTGATTCACCATCTCAAAGTATGACTTAAATGAAAAGTTACATTTATCTCTACCAGTAATCTTTATCAGGAATGTTTGCATTCTTTACAATATTGCTTACATGGGAATTTCGGTCATGCACATCAGCTCGGAAACAGATGGAAACAGTACTGATGCATGCATATGTATTTCTGTTAAAATAAAACAGCTCAATTTATTAAAAACTCCCTCAACAGTAATCACTAAAAAGGTTTAAATTTATTTTCAGAGGAACGAATGTATCAAAGGACTGGATACATGGACCAATTACAATACAACCATGCTTTCCTTGGCCACCTCTTCTTCCATTCATATAACACTTCTGTGATGCATATGACAGTAGCTCTCTGTGAGCTACAGTTTGGAAAATCACTGGTTTAGTAAAATTAAGTTGTAAGGTATGTTTAACAAAATATTTAATATTTACATCAAGAACATACACATTTGCTCTATAGTTCAGGAAGAGGTGAGAGCCAGAATGGCTGAATGCCCCTAGGTAAAGATAAAAAGATACATGGAGCCGTCTCATGGTAGGAGTTTACAATAGACCAGAGGTTTCCAACTCCCAGGCTGCAGCCTAGTATTGGGCCACGAAGAGTTGGCTGCCAGACCAGAAGTGACCGGCATACTGTGGACTGGCTGACAACCCTTTTTTATACCAAGTATGAAAAACTACGGGCTCCACAGTATGCTGGTCACTTCCGGACTGCAGTTTGTTAGTCCGCAGTTTGCTGGTCTGCGGTCACTTCCAGTCCGCAGTTTGCCAGTCTGCGATCTAAAAAGGCTGGGAACCACTGCAATAAACCACAAAAATTACAGGTGAATGAGGTATTTTGAATAATTGTAGGAAACATTTAAAGGACAGGACCTGGTGGTAATGAGGAATTTGACCCACTCAATCTCAACTAGAAAAGCAAAATGACAGAATAAAGTGTGTACCAAAAAAGTTCTTAGGATGTGCTGAGCACAACTGTTTCAGAAAGTAAAGGAAAATTACCAGGTGGATAGGTATTTAAGATCAGACTCCAAAGCTGTGTCTACACTTGCACTTTAACATGCATTAAAGTGTTACAACAAGTGCTCTTCAGCTAATACACATTAAAATAATGTGCTTTTTTCTAGTACCTCAGGCATGGAGCTACTAGAAGAGGTAAAGTGTGGAGTGACTAAGGAATCAATGACTATTATTTTAAAGAAATTGTAGAAGTGCAGGGGCAAAAAATCAAGAGAGACTGAAAGTACAAAATGAGTTATAGCTATCCAGGAACATGCAAAAAACATTTCTTCAAATACATAAGACAGCAAAAAAACCCAATTCTATAAATACACAAGAAAGTATAGGCCTATTACTTAAGAATGGAGAAATACAGGCTGCTTGCAGATGTGGAGAAAAAAAAAACCCCATGCTTTACCGGAAGAAGCAGTGCGTTAGTTCAACCCAGCTCTGCAGCATCTGTATAGGTTGTACACTTTAGCGGGGCTTTTTTGACACTTTTATCTAAAGCTGAGTCAATCAGAAACTATATAAAACAACAAAAAAGCCCCATTAAAGAGCCTGATCTATACAGACACTGCAGAGCTACATCGAAGTAACCCACTGCCTCTTTTGGGCATGAGCTTTCCTCGACATGGGAGTGTGCCAAGTTTAAAGTAAAGAGCGGATTGTTGGGGGCTTTTTGTGCATCTGCAAGCAGCCACAAATAACTATTAAATGGAGAAGTCTGAAGTATTTGATGCCTTCCTTATTTCAGGGTTCACAAAAGCACAAGCAATTAAACATATTCAAAATTTAACTGGGGATAATAGGATTACAACTTCTGATCAGAGAAAAACAAGAGCTTCAGATTAGAGAAAGAACAAGTTTAAAAATATTTAGAGAAAGTTAGATACATCAAAGTCAGCAGAGAGTGATTTCACCCTACAGTGCTTGGACATGCAACCAAACCAATCTCTGAACCATTAACAATCATCTTTGAGAATTCATGGAAGACAATGTAAACCTCCAAAGGGGAGAAGGGCAACGATATACATTTTTTTAAAAAAGACAATATACCTCAGTCAGCCTAACTTCAACACCACAAAAGATACTAACATTTATTGCTAAACAAATCTGTAAGCACCTACATGGTAAGAAACAGCGTGCAGTTGTTAAGAATAGTATTATGTCAAGCCAATCTAATTACCTTCTATGACAAGAAAAGAAAATTTAGGTTCAATTTTGCTAAGTTTCTGACATGGTTCCAATATGGCAGTCTCACGATCAAGCCATGTAACTATAGTTTATAATCACATTACCATAAGATAGCTTTGCAAACTGTTTGAAAAGCTATACACAATACACAATGGTCAACGGTCAAGTGAAACGAGAGATGTAGTGGTCTGCAATGATCTGAGGAAAGGCATAAATCCCACCATATACAAAAGGCTTGTTTCCAGGTTCAGAGGGGTAAGTTAGGATAAGTAGTAATCTACTTAATTGACAGCTAAAGCGATGTAGATATTGGGGATAACTTAAATACTAAAACAGGTTAACTAGAAACACTGAGGAAGGTAGGGTTTTAAGAACAAGTTAGATAAGGAATCTCTCTGGGATAATCTGTCTTCTTTGTTTTTCCTTCAGGGTTACTAGTAACCTATTATAAGTTTGTGAATTTGTCAAACTCCCACTGCATCAGCAAGAAAAATAAATCTGAGGGAGTCAGGTAGCCCCTTTGCCCTCTGTTCCACCTCCCTGCAACACTATTTCCTCTTGTAGCTTTTTCCCCCTGGTCCATACTGTCAGATCCTGCTCTCCCTTAGCGCATGGAAGTGAGAAGCAAACTTGAAAAAACTGACTTTGAAATAAACATGCCTATATCAATTTGCATATAGTACTATGGAGTTATTTAACCTAGAACTGATGCATTTTACTTTTTCTGAAACTGCAGCAGGTTTTAGCACAGGTACTCCATAAATACTTTTCAGTAGCACATTAGTACTTACTTCTATATAGTACAAACTATGTATGATATTAGTCCAAAGCCAAAAGATTCATGATTTATCATATAGTTCATTGGGCTGGACCCCAGCAGAGTCAACAGCATTTCAAGCCATGGTGAACCTGTAGTTCAGCACTGCTCAGTATCCATGTGCTAATTAGCCCAACACTCATGACTGGAAACCGGTGTTCTTGTCACAAAACCTGGGATCCTTCAAAATTTATATGTAGATGAGGTGCAGGACACCTGGTCCAGCTTCACCTCATGGAAGGTAGGACCACACTAATTATATGCGACAGGCTGAGAGAAAAGGCAACAGAAGGATTCTGGGTGAACTGTTTTGGGCCCTCCTGTTTGGTGATGTTTAAGGTGGGTGAAGAAGCAAAAATAATTGGCAAGGGGAAAGAAAGGTGCAGCTCAGCAGTGGGAATAAAGAGAAAGTCTAAAAGTAAGCAATGCACTGGCTCACCATGACTTGAAAGAGTCAGCACTGAGGGAGAGTGCACTTAATGTGCACTACCATATTTCATAGATTTCATAGACATTAGGGCTGGAAGGGATCTTGGAAGATCATCGAGTTCAGCCCCCCGCCTGAAGGGCAGGAAGTCAGCTGGGGTCATAGGATCCCAGCAAGATAAGCATCCAATTTACTCTTGAAGGTGTTCAATGTAGGTGCTTGAACCACCTCTGATGGCAGGCTGTTCCAGACCTTGGGGGCTTGGACAATAAAGCAATTCTTCCTTATGTCCAGCCTGAAACAGTCTTGCAGTCTTATAACCGTTTGACCTTGTCATCCCATGGGGTGCTGTGGTGAACAAACATTCCCCAGATACTGGTGGTCACCCCAATTAACTTATAGGTGGCCATCAGATCACCCCTGAGCCTGCACTTTTCCAGGCTAAAGATCCCCATGGCTCTCAGCCTGTCATCATAAGGTCTGTTTTCCTGACCTCTGATCACGTGCGTGGCTCTTCTGTGGACTCTCTCAAGCTTCTCCACATCCTTTTTGTATTGTGGAGCCCAAAACTGGATGCAGTACTCCAGCTGAGGCCTCACCAAGGCTGAGTACAAGGGGAGAATGACATCCCGGGATTTGCTTGAGAAGCATCTATGGATGCAAGCCAGCGTTTTGGTTGCTTTACTAGCCGCAGCATCGCTTTGCAGGCTCATGTTCATCTTGTGGTCAATGACGACCCCCAAGTCTCTTTCTTCCGTAGTGCTAGCCAGCATAGCACTGCCGAGCCTATGAGGATGCTGCAGGTTTTTCCTCCCAAGGTGGAGAACCTTGCATTAATCGGTGTTAAACACCATCAGGTTCTCGTCCACCCATTTGCTGAGCCTGTCCAGGTCAGCCTGGATCACCCACCTGTCTTCTGGTGTGGATGCTTTACCCCAAAGTTTGGTGTCATCGGTGAACTTGGCCAGTCCGCTTCTGACTCCAATGTCCACATCATTAATGAAGATGTTGAACAATATGGGTCCAAGGACAGAGCCTTGGGGGACCCCACTGGTCACAGGGCACCATGATGATTGACTTCCATCAATTACTACCCTCTGGGTCCAACCACGGACTGCACTAACCTATTCTTGTGGTAAGTTCCCGTCAGCATGTCTTCCTAATATGACCCATGTACTTTATAGTCATGCTCAGTGTTGGCTACATTTAATCAACTTCGTACTTGGTTTCCATTACTGAGCGCGTAAAATCAGCAGTTTAATGATAGACAATATATTTAATGCAATTTCCTTGTATGCAAATATAAAATGTAAAACAAGGGGCTTTTTCCCCCATGCTGATTGGACAGGGAAACCTCATCTTGCATTTGAGGAAATATGATAATTGGTTTTTTGTCTTTAATTTGCAGAATTTCAAATGTGACAGGTATTCCTTGCAAAAAGAAAAGCTTAAATTTCCATTAGTGCATATAACTCATGGAAGTAATGATTAGTGTTCCAAGTCCCTCAAGGATTGGGTAATGTACCAGAGCTGCAAGTCTGGTACAACAGTCAAACTTCACTAGAGAAGGCAGTTGAGATCACATGCTATGCAATACACTTGTGTAAGAACCTGGGATTGCCTCAAGCAGAGGTCTACAGGGAGTATGGACATGACAGAACTGGTTTGAAAGTCCTAAGAAATTTAAGATATCCTGAATGTAAGCAGTGAAAATAGGGAAGACATTTGACAATTTGGTGCAGCTGTGACCTTCCAACCTTTATACCATTGTCAGTACAGCTTATAAAGTTTCAGTCATCTGCCTAACATGGATAAATCTCGTTTCTAACCTTTGTTGAACCTCCATCATTTACACATGGCAAAAAGGAGATGTGTCACACAAGATACTGAGCTTTGCCTCAGCCAGAGACAAGACAGACAGTAAAACAAACAATATCAGCTGCAAAAGTTAGTACAACCTTTCTCTTTCATGATCAATGCTCAGGAAACTCATTAAATAGCAAAAAGAATACAGTAATTATCAAAAATAAAAAAGTGTTAAGTACCTTTGTTCTGGACTGAACTTGTTCTTTACAGATGAGGCATTTCTTGACCCTTGGGGAACACAGAGAACAGGTGGCAATATGTCCACATGGGCCAAATAAAGTGTCTCTCTTCATATCTGAACATACCATACATTCTTCTAACGTTTCTGAGTCATTGCTGATCATAGAAGGACTTCGGGAGCCAACCTGACCACTAAAAAGAAAAAAGGAAAGAACATGACTTGCATGTCATGCACAAGTTAGTCTTGGTCACACCACACCACATGGTGTCTTGAATTATTTGCTTAGGCCAGGAATCAGTAACCTCTGGCCCATGGAGTAAATCCAACCCGCAAAGAGATTATATGCAGCCTGCAATCCACTCTAGGTTCTTCTAAAGGCATACTGATCTCCTGTTACAGCTTAGCCATCAGATCTCCCCCAGATTCTGCATTCCCCATTTTACTAAGGGCCAAGAAGTCCCCTAGCTGTCTGCACTACTCTGCCTGTGACACATGCAGAAGGCTGCTCTCTCCCGCCACCACTGCAGCCTCCATTCAATGAATTAGAAACTCTAAAATTGTCCCTTGCCAGGTCTTTCAGAGGAGGCTGCATTTGTAGGGGTGTGGTAGAGAGGCGGATCAGTGCATAGAACAGGAACAAATGGGGTTCACAGGGGATAGCCAGGCCATGGTGCCATTGGGTCATAAGACGTGGTTAGTAAAAATAAACTGTTAGTAAAATATAACCATTTTGCCAGACACAGGACTGTAGTAGCTAAGGGCCAAGCTCAGTTCAGAAGTTTTTAACACAAATTTATTTTCCTGGCTCAGCCCCTACCCAAAAATGTGCAAAAATAAATTTTGCCTGTGTGTTCCCATGTCAAGCCATATTAAATTGTAACAAAGTTTATTCATGGGGGAAAGAAAACAGGACATCAAACGGATTTAGGAAACCTTTAATAATTAGTAGCCCACCTCAACATCTGATGAAGTGAGCTTCAGTCCATGAAAGCTTGTGATATTTATTACATACACATAGAAACCTACTTTGGTTAGTCTGTGAGCATGTCTACATGTCATGCTACAGCGACATAGCATTGGCAGGCACAAACTGTTCTGCAGACACTATGTTGCCGTAGCGACAAGCTACCTTGCTATAAAGTGTCACTACGGCAACATAGCTGCTAAAAATAACTGTGCACTGCCGGGATGGCACAGTAATGGCTGTTACTGCGCCATCCTTTAGTACTTCCTAAAGCAAGTACTAAATGATGCCACAGTAACAAGCGTGCCATGGAAGGCACACATAGATGCGCCTTCCAAGGTAAAAAACTACCCTGCCTTCTAGTAAACAGTTGTCAACTCTAACTTAGGCATATCTTATTACAGTTTGTGTCACTCCTCTTGCTCATTTTGTAAGCTGTTGAGGAAAGATAGCTTTGTATTTCACTGCCATTACAGAAACAAAAATTCTAGTTTTATAAGAGAGAGAGACATTTTCTGCCAGTGCTTGCTTTAACAGGATTCATGCTTGAATAAAAAGACCTGCAGAAAGCATGAAGCCAGTAAACTGTCAAAGCAGCTAGAGAATTTGAGAAGAAAAAAAAAATCTACCACCTTCCTATAAACTTTAATATTGAAGGGACACTTACCTTAAATTCAGAATCTGACCTAAGCAAGACACTATCATAACCCCATATGAAAATTTAGAAGAAATATTATAAAAGCCTACTTATAGGTAATTAAGAAATAAAGCCCCAAATGCTCAAACCAGTATTTATCTGGGATCTTTTCTTCTATGCTACTCCATACCCAGCAGAGGGAGTACATGTTAAATGCATCTTTATTACCAGAACTCTGACCATGCCATAAAAGGTGTTAACGCACAACGGGAATAAGCGACAATGATCTGCAATCTACATGGCAAGAAGCTAAAAAGAAAATTCCTACCAAACCAGGAGAGAACCAACAAGAAAACTTTTTTCAGTTTTTATGAAATTAAGAAAGTATTACATACTTCACAATACAGGGATAAAAAGTATAAATCTGAGATGGCTACAGGATTTGTGAGTTAAGGGAGGAATTATTTTATTTTTTTTTAAATCTAAACTGGACAAGCAGTAAGTGGAAACTTATCAATAAACGGGTATTTGATGATGCATGGCGTTTTCTTCAAATCAGAGTACTTCCTAGTAGATAACCTATTCAACGGGTACCACTAATTATTAGAATGTCAGAGATGGCATAATGAATGGCTGTGATACAGAATTATTCCAGTACAATAAGTATGAGGTGTAAATTGTGCCTCAAACAGAATAAAGAAACTGACACCGTTACTACTCATCAGCTTCAACTAATGTTTTTGTAGCTAGCATTGAACACATTGCAGAATACAGCTATGCTTACCTTTATCTTGATCTTCAGCTATTTATTGTGATTATTATTAGGGAAAAAGCATTTTGCTTTCAACTTTGATTTAATCCACAGAAAATTGAAGGTTTGTAAACACGACGCTTGAAAATTCCTGATTTTTGTGGTATACAAACCTGACTTTTTCTTTGTGACATTTAGCCAGTGCTTTGCAGAGGCTAGGATCAGGACAGAGGTCAAGAGGAGACTGTCCCTTCTTGTTACGAATACTGAGATCAGCTCCATTGGCTGCCAGGAAGCAGGCAATAGACGCTGCGCTCTTCTTCTCTGCTCCCTGTGTGCCAAGTCCCATTATTAACTGAAAAAAAGTAAACAGGTAACAGCCTTGAGATTCTCTAAATACTTGCAAACAGACTTAAAGAAAACTAGCCATTTAACATGTAGACATCTGTAGAAATCCAAGGAAGCATTTTTAGCTTATCTGCCCGTTCTAAGACAAAAATTATAGAGCAATTATATTACCCAATCAGGCATATTCCAAGCACAGGCTTACTTTCATGTCTGTACTGCAGACTACCGAGTAGAGTTAAATTAACACATATTGGGTTGCAACTGCTCAGCTGTTAGTTTTACACAAGCTAACGTTTTTAGAGCTCACATGGACATCTCCCCCCTGTATTCAGTAAATGGAGTGCAGAAATGCCTGGGTTTCAACCAGAACAAAAAAATTCTGAACAACTGTGAGACCATAATATCACAAAGGAAGAGAAAACTGAGTAAATGATTTCCTTGTTAACTATGATGCTTGATGTCAACTGACCAAAATATTACTAAATTACTACCTCAATAAAATACGAATATTCAAGGCTTAAACCAGCGCTGTCCAACTGGCTGCCCCTAGGCTCCCAGTCTGGGCACTATCCCCCTATTAGTCTTGTGCTGGTGCCTATGGAGTCTCCAAACTTCCCCTCTCTCTTCCAACTTCCACTTTTGCCTATGGAGTTGGGAGAGAGCACCACAGACGGAGGGGCCAAAGGACCTCTAAGGAAGACTATTTGACAATGGCCTGCACTTGTAGAAACCGTATTAGGCAAACTAAGGCAGAAACCAAACTAAAACTAGCTACAACAATCAAAGACAACAAGAAGTCCTTCTTTAGCTACAAAGGGAGTAAAAGGAAAACTAATGGGAGTGTGGGGGCGCTGCTCAATGCCTCAGGGTTTTGGTACCTGGTCACTACCACTCAGGAAAAAACAGAACTCCTAAATGACTAGTTTGCTTCGGTCTTTCACAAGACCAAGGGGAACAACACACCAGGTAGGGCACAGAACGAGCAGGGTGGGATTGACACCCTTCCCACCACTGCCATAGAACTGGTGTACGATCAAGCAAAGAAATTAGACATTTATAAATCAGCAGGACTGGATGAACTCCAACCAAGAGTGCTGCAACAGTTGGCCGAAGTAATTGCAGAGCCCTTGGCAAAGGTCTTTTAAAATTATGGGCCTCTAGAGAAATCCCAGAGGACTGGAAGAGGGCCAGTGTTGTGCCTATCTTCAAGAAGGGGAAGCATGAAAACCCAGGAAACTACAGCCCAATTAGTTTAACTTCTACTCCAGGGAACATTAGAAACATTAGTTAAAAAGGCTATATGTGACAAACTTGCAGAAGGCATGATACTGAATGACAGCCAGCATGGCTTCATCATGGGCAGGTCTCATCTGACCAACCTCATTTCTTTCTAGGATCAGGTGACTAGTCACCTGGATGAGAGAAAAGCAGTTGACATCATATACTTTGACTTCCAGAAAGTCTTTGACCTGGTATCCCATGAGGTAGTGATCAGAAAACTTGAAGATATCGGGCTCAACTGCGGGACTGATGGGTGGGTGCAAAACTGGTTGCAGGCCAGGATGCAGAGAGTCCAAATGAACGGACTGGTGTCACACCCTGGCGAGATGTGGGCAGTGGCGTACCCCAGAGGTCAGTACTTGGCCCAGCGCTGTTCAACATCTTCATCAAAGACCTGGATGAGGGGATGAAAAGTCCACTGGCCAAGTTTGCGGACAATATCAAGATATGGGGTTGCATGGATAGACACCCGCAGATAGGCAGCAGATTACAAGCAGACCTAGATAAGCTGGCTTGTTGGGCAGAATGGAACCAGATGCAGTTCAACATAGAGAAATGCAAAGTACTGCATCTGGGAAGGAAGAACCCCCAGCACACCTACAGGCTGGGCAATGCTAACCTGACCAGCACTACAAATGAAAGGGATCTGGGGGTAACAATAGACCCCAGCATGAACAAGCTGGCAATGCGACACAGTAGTCGCTAGGACCAATAAAACTCTGGCATGCATCAATCTACGCATCTCCAGTAAATCCAAAGAAGTGATTCTCCCTTTTTACTCAACATTGGTGTGGCTGCAGCTGGAGTAGTGTGTCCAGTTCTGGGCGCTGCACTTCAACAAGGACGTGCTAAAGCTTGAGAGGGTCCAGAGAAGGGCCACCCTTATGATCAGGGACTTGCATAGCAAGCCATACAAGGAGAGCCTGAGGGATCAACTGTTCGCCAAGGCACCCTGTGGGGAAAACTAGAAACAACAGTCACAAACTCCTGGAAGATAGTTTCAGGCTAAACATTAGGAAAAAACTTTTTCACAACTAGGGTGTCCAGACTATGGAGCAAGCTCCCCTCAGAAGTGGTACAACCACTTACCCTAGAGGTCTTCAAGAGAAGACTGGACGGTCACCTGGCTGGGGTCACCTGACCCCAGATGTTTTTTCTGCCCATGCAGGGTGCTGGACCCAATGATCCTTCAGGGTCCCTTCCAGCCCTATGATTCTATGACCCCGCACCAAAGGGCTGGACTGGTACTGAGGACTCCATGTGGTGTGGAAGTACCAGTGAAGTACAGCAGAGGGAGGACCACCACACTACACATCGTGGCATGCAACCCCCCAACCACACAAAAACGGGACAGCCCTACTTAAACAATGACAATGTTTAAGCATATCCTAAGCGGGTGTTGACAGACGAGGAAAGAGAATGCACTCTACCGGAAGCAGCAGCATGTTACTCCAACTTGGCTCCACAGCACCTGTATAGAGTGCATGTTTCAGCTGGGCTTTTTGGTGCTTTTAGCTGAACCTGATTCAACCAGCTATTAGATAAAAGTGCCAAAAAGGTCCTCCTAGAATATCCAATCTCTATAGACTTTGGGAAAGCTGGGTGCAACTAAGGCACTGCATCTTCTGGGCATGTGCTGGGCTCAGTGTGGGAGCACACCGAGTTTAAAGTAAAGAGCTTTTGTCTGGGGGTTTTTTTCATGTCTGCAAGCAGCCCTAATGTCCATGTGGAAGTATCTGGAGGAAGAAAGGCTAACCACAAGCAGCCAGCTTGGATTTATTAAGAGCAAATCATGTCAAACAAACTTGATATCCTTTGACAAAGTAACTACTTAAGTGGATGAGAGGAATGCTGTGGATATAGAGTATCTGGACTTCAGCAAGGCTTCTGATAAGGTATAACATTATCTTCTCATAGACAAACTGGAGAAATGTGAGATAGACAAACTACTATTAGGTGGATAGACAACTGGCTGAATAGCTGCAAACAGAGGGTTATTATAAATGGATCCATGTCAGAACAGCGAACGGTTTTGAGGGAAGTCCCACAAGGGTCTGTCCTGGGCCCAGTGTTGTTCAACATGTTTATTAATGAACTGGATGCTGGCATAGAAAGCTTCTTGAGCAAGTCTGAAGATAAGACAAAGATAGGAATGATTCCAAACACATAGAAGTATGGGACAGCAATTCAGAAGGATCTTGACAGATTGCTGGGCTGGAGCTATCAAAATTAATTTCAATGCTGACACATGCAAGGTGCTACCCCATGGGAGGAATAATCAAAACTACAAATACAAAAAGGGTAGCTGGATGGTAACACTGCAGAGAAGGATCTGGAAGTCTTGGTAGATCACAGATTCAATACAAGTCTGCAGTGTGATGCAGCTGCACAAAAAGGAGAACGCAGTTTTGAGATGCACCAACAGACACATTAGGTGCAAGACGTGGGAGGCCTCTACTTGGCACGGGTTAGGCCTCATCTAAAGTTCTGTGTGAAATTTTGGATTCCACATTTTTAAAAGGATGTGGAGAAGTCAGAGAGGGTGCAGAGGCAGGTGCTACAAATGATAAAGGGCTTCAAAGACAAGTCATTCAAAGAGAGGTTGAAGGAACTAGGCAAGTTTAACCTTTGGAAAAGATACTCAAGAAGGGACATGATAGCAGTTTTCAAATACCCTTCTGTTCAGGGTCAGACTGAGCATCATCTTTGGGGTCAGGAAGGAATTTTACCCCATGGTTAGATTGGTATGGGCCATGGGGATGTCTGCCTTCCCCTGAGAAGGGTAGTATATTGAGCACATTTTTAACAACTTCTGCAGCAGTAGGACATTAGCTGCTGTGGTCCCCCTGTTTTACCAGTGGCAGATTAGGGTGCTGTCTCGTGTGGTAAGAGCTTCAACAATGGGTTTGTATGGGATGGTTTAAACATGGATGAGCCTGCCTCAGGCAGGGGGTTGGACTAGATGACCTCTCAAGGTCTCTTCTAGCCGTACTCATTTATGATTTTATGACTTCTAATTTAAACAAGCAGAGAAAAACCCTTAAGGCTTACTCTATAGATCATAAAAAATAGAGAGGACATAAACTCGATTTAACTTGGCATGTCGCCTCTCAGGCCAACCCTTTTACAACTAAGCCAATTCTAACTTTTAAGGAAAACAGTTTTCCATCTCCAATTCTGTTTGCAATATACACGTATAACCTACCACATGTCTGTCATAGTAACAGATACCTTCAGACTATCATGTCAAAAAATCCCAGTGTAAAATGATCATTAATCTAGCCACAGCAACTTTATTTTCAAAGGCACTAAATGTTTAGAAGCTGTGTTTTCAGAAGTTCTACGTGAATTTTATAATAGATGACCATATCAGATTAACTTGTCTTGCAAAACTGACAAGGGAAGTCAGAATAGACCTTGAGTAGCATACCCAAGAACCAATCTCCTATTAATAAGGTTTTTTTTTAAAAGGAAGTGACACAAGACGCATCTCAAATTCCAGAATCAAAAAGTTGCTCACAGCAATGACACTTTTACTTTTTCCATTTCTTTTAAAATGCATATTCAGCAAACTTGTCCATTTTCTAAGCATAACTGATGAATTAGTGCAACCGCCAGGAAAAAGTCATGTTGGAAAAAAATGTTCACAACCATTTAAAAGTAAGTCTTCCCCTTCCAGGTGTTGATATCTTCCACTAACAGCTCAGGATAGATTTTTCAGCCATTGTGGTATACTTTCACTGAATACTTGTGTCAGTCATAACAGTCTATGAGAGGTTAGTCAAAAATACCAATGAAGCACCTGAACAATTCTGATAACTCTTCTGGATTTATATCTCTATATGACAACCAACAGCAACTACCACAAGTATGAATTAAAAGGAACTATTATGATTATATAATAAAGTGTATTAAGATATTCAGCCTCAGAAGAGCTCCAAAACATTTAGTAAACAAGAGATTTCTATATTAGATTTGCTAAAAAGTTTAGACTACAGAAATCTGTCACCTTACCTTAAAAAAAAATAAGGCGGGGGGGGGGGGGGGGGGGGGGGGGGGGGGGGGGGGGGGAGGAGGCACACTGGATAAATTTGAATGATTGGAAATGAATTTACCCAACAAGCAAGATGCAGATTTCCTTTCAAAACTTAATCTTGTCCGCCAGAAATTAGCAAAGAAAGTTCAGCAACAAAATTAAATTACTAATTCAGAATACCAAGTCATCATTCCCTGATTACTAAATGTTACAAAGACAATTACACAACTTCAATATTTTGAATTACTAACCTACTTGAAAACCATGATAACGTAAATCGTTCCTAAAATGACCTTTACACTCCAGCAGATGCAAGAAAATCTTAACATGCTTCTAACAGCTGAAATTCTACCCTTTTGTATGCTCACTATTCCAAAATTACTTGAATGGAAGCAACATGTCCATGTAAGAGTAGGGTTTTGTCCCAAAAGATCTCATTTATTAAAATAATTAGCTGAAATCTTTATTACTAGTAAAGCAAGAAAATAATTTGGTACATAAAAAACTAATACAGGGGAGAGATAGTATCATCACATATTACCCTTATTGAGTAACAGGTGAGCACTGAGCTTGTCTCCTTAACATCCAATTACTAGATATTTTCTGCAGTAGTGACAATTACATTGAACGCTATATTTTGGGAATAATGTGAGAATCTGCAGATGTGACATGCAGCTAGCACTTTCAACACATGAAGCTGACAAATAAAGGAATATACAAAACCCTTTCCATTTCAACACCCACCTTTTTCACACCCAACCTACTTTCCAAGTACTTTGACTGGTTATGCAAAAAATTTCTTGGGTCAAAGGAAACTTGATCTAGGGATAAGCAAGAAAAGTCCTAGTCTGTTGTTCAACTTCCATGGGAGGACTTGCTGTATATTATTTTTGAAATCCAGGGCACTTAGAAGTTTGTGTATAAATTTAAGAGGTGACACCTGGGCCATTTAAAAAAATTGGTATAATACATAATTCCTAGAGTGAAGGACACCTCATATATGTAAATCATGGAATGCCAAAGACTGGAAACCCAAACTCTGAAGCATAAGCGGGAAATCTTGAGAGGAGGTAGAGAAGACTGGTAGCCAAGCAAAAAAAGAAACATCTTCACCATCTTGCAGATGCAGTCAGTGGAAAACGTTCATGCAATACTAAATCTCAGAAAATTCATATACACTCTATCCATTTCATATTTACTATATGATTGCTTCAAGTTTAAAATACCCCCACCACTCCACTCTCACCACTTTTGGTTAAGCTTTGCAGAGTTCATCTCAGACCGTGAAGCTGAAACTAGGTCTGAGATGAAATCACTGCAAGTATTAAAAGTAGTTCTATAGCATATTTTAGAAAAAAGTTGGAGCAGTTTTAGAGCCACAATTTGAATCCCTCTCAAAAGTACTTTTAGTGCAGTTTATATTAAACTAGTTATATATTTTAATATCCTATTCATAGCTTTCAAATGTTGTGTGCTTTCCTTACCTTTTACAGTGGGTGCCATTAGAGTCACTTACCACACACAGATAACCAGTGACCTTCTCTTTTATAAATAGGATTGTACATGATCAATAAACAGTGTGTTTTTTGATATTATTATACAATGAATTTACAAATTAGAATTTTCTCCTATAAAGCTTGCTTAAATGAAATACAATAACAGTCACTTAGAATATCAGGAATCAGAACAACTACATACATCTGGCATCCTGCTAACTCAACAAATCTGCTGTCAGTATATTTTGAACCACAAATATTCTTATGACAGAAAAAACTATAATTTTGTTGATGTGCCTTCAGTCAACACAGGCCATCAAGATACCTGAACTCTACTCTGACTTTCTGCATCTTCAAAAAGGCTGCCCTATTCCCAACTCCTATACATATTTCAGTTCCTTACACCTTCCCAACAGCAGGGTTTACAGGAATAACTGAAGTGGCAAATTCTGCTTTTATTAAGGCAGGGAGGCTGGAAGTTGCAATTATTATAAATTTGTTCCAGATTCTTTACTAAGAGATTATGCTGCACGATAAAGAATCCAGCCTGATTTTTAGATACTAAAGCAGATAAAAATGGGTTCCATGGCTAATGGGAAAAAGTAACATTTCACTGTAAGCCAAATAATTTTTGTCTTAAGACAGAGTTCACTTCATGTCTAGAACACTGCCGAAAGCAGAAATGCACTATTAGACTATGCTTTAAAATAAAGAATCATGAATTTGTGTGTAGGCACCCTATAAATATATCTTGGCGTATTTACAGATTGCAACACGTAAATGATGTTTTAAATAATTGCCAGCATGTTGATGTAGGTATTTTATGCACTAATACTCAATAAAATAAAATGATGGAATACTCAAATGGCAGACATACAGGAAAAAAAAACAGTGTCAACATTTGTAACATTGTAACCCTCAACTCTGAAGAGGGTACTATGCATTAATTTTTCATCAAAAAAGCCTATTGAGTCCCTAAATTTGAGGCTTAAAATAAGCATTTCTTGGTCTTAGTATCAGCATTAGTGGGCATAGCTCTTAGACTGAAGAGGCAAAATCTGTTACAAAGATAGTTCTTTTTTTTATTGTTACAACACAGATCTTTATCTTTGGAATAAAATTTATATTCACATTTTTATCACCAGAATAAAACAATTGTCTCATTTGTTATCTTCACTTGCTGAACTGATGTATGTAGGCCCAGAGCTTTTTATTTATTTGAACATTAACTTTGACCTTGTTATTATTTGAGAAGACACCCACATCACCCGAATTCTGAAATGAACTCTGTGAAGAAAGGACGCATACATAATATACTAGCTAAAATGATCAAGCTATAGCTAGACACAATCAGACATGCAAAAGTTCTAAGAAACATACAGAGATGAAGAATAAAATAAAACAATTCCAAGCTATAAATGAAGACATGCAAAATGTTAATTTTTAGAAATCATTTCAGTCTAACTCTACTGTATTACTGTTTGTTTCTTAAAATTTCTTAACCCCCAGCAGCCATCAAGCACTGGCTGACAAATGTTTTGTTGCATAGCATATGCATTTATCTCAAAAAAAGGTGGGGGAGTTAATGAGTAAATATAAGAATATTCATGTGATAACTTCATTTTATACACTGTGATCTGACATAGAAGATCTTTAAACAAAACTATGCTGTCAACAAACAGTTCAACAGTACAGGATTTTTAAGTTTGATTAAAGACAGTGTACAAGGAAAAAAGGAATAAATAAATGCATGTATTTACTGTGTTCTTTGATGGCTCCCAAGCAGTATCTACCTTGCCCACATCTTGCATGTCTTGGAGCTGGCGAAGCTGTGACAGAGTATGGTGTCTCAGGGCTTCATGCAGGGGAGTATCCCCATCTTTATCCTGAATATCCAGTTTAGCACCTGCACGGACTAAAAGCTGAAAGGGAAGGAATCTGGTTGAGATCTCACAAATAAAAGGTACTTGGAAGAAAAAAATTAAACACATTGTCAGTTTCAACAAATCCTACACAATTAAAATAGTCTACTTCCAATTAGGATATCAGTCATTTTCAACTGCTCTCAATTGTTCTGTTGCACCAATAACCTGATTTACTTGGTGTTTTTTGATGAACAGCTACAAAAGAACTATATAAACAGGGTGGAACTTTTTAACACTTCTAAGCTGCCATATAAAGAGTGCAACAGTACATTAACAATACACCAGAAAAAAGGAGTTACCAAGGTAAAAATTTCTATAAGCTTGTATTTAATTTTTCTTATCAAGGGTTCTCATGACATTTTCATAATAATGTATTTTCATGTTATGCTAATTTTACACAAAGAAAATGTTATTTCCCCCCAAATCAGTGAAGCAGTAAAGCTCCTGATTGAAGGGTTAATCTTTTCCACTACAGCTTGAGACATCCCTCTTCAGCCACTAGCTGGTGGCAAGATTCCATTATGAATACTGCCAATTTCCATCACTTTCTGCTCGGGGTGCACCAATAAAGATTTTTTGGGCCAATACCAATGGCTGATTTTTAACAAGCCATATCAGCCAATACCAATCTGATTCTGATAGGCAGCTAGGCAGTTTGGAGACCAGTATCAGGCTGGTAAGTCTGATGTAGGGACAGCAGAGGGGTGCCGATTGGGGCCCCTGCAGGGAGGGAGAGGGAAGGAATGGGGCTGGGTCAGGCGCTGCCCAGCCAGGATGGGGCACGGGACGGAGCTGCGAGTAGCTCATCTGGGAGGCGCGGGGTGGGGCGGGGGCGGCAGCTCCCACCCTGCACACACCCCGGGAGGACACAGGGGCCTTGTGCTCCTGGATCCGCGTGCAGGGCAGCCAAAGGACGGGCTGCCGTTGTGGGCTGGGGCCAGGGGTCGTCACTACGCTATTCCTGGCTGGGGCTGGACTTGGGGCAGGCAGTGGTAGTGCTGGGAGAGGGATTTGGGGGGGGGGGCTGCAGCCACCCAAAATTTGCTGTAGCACCCCCGCCACCCACTTCGAGCACAGCCTGGAAATTATGAATTTTGCCATGATCTTCCAAAGGCGCTCCCAAATGACTATACCAAATGATTTTGTCAAGTCAATGAAAGTCATTTACAGGTTGGAGCTTTGTTCCTGGCATTTCTCCTGAAGTTGACGAGCTACAAACACCATGTCTATGGTCCCTTGTCTATGTCTATTATTTGTAAATAATAATAAATATGTTATTTACAAAATAAATTATATGATAATATTTGATTTCTAGTCTATGTTTTCATAACACCTTATCAAAAATAACTTATGTAAAATGCAAAAGCATAGATTTTTCTATGAAATCATACTTGAGAAAATGAATCTGTAGACACCAGACGGTATCCCACAACATTCATAACAAGTATGGTATTCTACATTAGGAAGAGATGTGACTGCTGAAAAACAAAATTAAGTGTTTGCCACTGCTATCTGCAAGTTGTTTGAGAATAAAGATCTTGAGTTCCTAACTCTTCACAACAAAAAAAAATAGAGTTGATGTCACCTTGCTTTCTTCAGGGTGCAAAAACAGTCCCAGCACAACGAAAAGTGACATAGTCAGTTTTATTTCTGCCATTAAGAAGCCTGCTGGTTACAGTTAAAATGTCAATGCGACTTCAACTTTCTGCTGCTTGGCAAAACAGTAACAGCAGATGCCAAAGGAAAGCAAAAAATGAGGCATTTCTGCACCCATTCTTTCCCCAAAGATGACAACATGCTTTTTGAGAGGGATAGAGTATAATACATCTCCCCATCCTACACCACAGCATACAAAAGAATCTAGTCTGTTCTATATACGCAAGACAAGACAGAGTTCCTTCTTCCTTTCAGAGTCTGAAGGGATTTTGATCTTGAACTTTCTCAGGAACTTATCAGCCAGAGTCCAGAAGAAAATAAGTAAGCATTTCTAGCTGGACTGCCTTAACTTGGGAAATGACCTTATCTAGACTTCCTTAGCAGGTTACCCCTGGATCTCATAGGTAGGCTCCACTACGTTCAACTCTAACACTGAATGGAGCCCGTAACTTTAAAACTGGTATTTTAAGTGCTGTTTTCTTCTGTGATTGTGGGAGGGAGGGATTCAGTTTGAACTTGTGGAAGTTTCCCTTTATTGTCACTGTTGGGTTCTGGTCTCCTCTCCTGTATGAAGAGTAAAACTTAGTCTTCTGTCTGCAGCCATTATGAAGTGTGCATGGAACTCTGGAAAACCATGGAAGCCCAAAGTGTCAGCACAAAAATCTGAGTCACCTCTCCCACTAAGGGACAGCTTTTAAAAAGAACAATCTGACTGCTACTGCAGAGATGCATGAGGCTCTGAAAGAAACCCAGTATAAATGAATGATTTTCATTTATGGCAGCCACCGTACTGTTTGCACAGCTGTGAAAGTCATTTTCAGGGTTTTCCAAATTCAATCCAGCTCTAAAGTATGAATCTTCTACAAAGACAGCCAGTTCAACATTTCTGGATGTGAGCAAATCAATATGATGCACATCACATACTAATTCTTTGACATGCCTATTCTCTACTCACCTGTTAGGTCAGCACAGGTGTTTTCAAGGTAACCTACTAGTTCCAAAAGAAAACTAGGGGCTCACCAAATATGGCTTCAGTAAAGCCTTCAGAACGCAAGTGACATTTATCCTGTATATAAGGTCACATCACTATCAACATGTGTTGGCAAAGGAAACCCTACAAAACAACACTATGAGTACAAGTATATCCATAAAATACAAATAATATTTACTACTAGTAACCAGCTGTTTCTGGAGGAGGAAACTGGAAGAGAATGACAATGGGTTGGCAACCTCCAGCACGTGCGCCCAGAGCATGGCATATGAGGGCATTTTGCTCAGCACGCCACAGCTGGCCCTGGCTCTGGACAGCTGCTGCTGGCCATGAAGCCTGGGCTGCTTGCAAACGTAGGGGAGGCTGCAGGCCCTGATGCAAGTAGCCCAGGCTCCATGGCAGCCCAGGCTGGATCTGGCAGGCAGCCAGGAAGCTGCAACCAGTACATCAGGGCCTGGAGCCCTGGCCTAGCTCCATGGCAGAAGCAGCTGCACACACACCTTGGAGCACACAGCATGGAAAGGGCCTGAGGCAGTGCAACCACAGTCTCTTCCCTGCCATGCACCCTGAGGGAAAAGTGCAACCACTGCTGCCATGGAGCTGGGCTGTGGTTCAGGACCCTGATGTAGCTGTTTGCAGCCTACCTGCTGCCAGAAGCCTAGGCTACACAGCAGGTGGCAGGATCCTGCCCAGAGCCTGGGCTGCTTGTAGCAGGCAGCCACAAGCCTGTGAGCTGCTGCACCAGGTTACTGACCACCATCCCAGCCCATTGCTAGTGGTGGCTATACACATGCCCTGCAGCAGACAGTGGGAAAGGGCCGGGGCAGTGCAGCTGGCGCTCTCTGCTCTCCTCCCTTGCCCATGAAGGAGGTCCAAGCTGCAGCAGCAGCTCTGGCTCCCAGGACTACAGCCACTGATGGAGCACAGCAGGGCCTGAGGCACATAGCAGGGTGAGTGCCTGTGGGCCTAGGGAGGGACCCAGCTTCTAAACCCTCAACTCCTCTCCCTCTGCCTCAGCTCCTGCTGCAGGCGCTACTCTGTGCTGGGCTTTGGGCACTTTTCCTTTCCCCACAGATTTGGTAAGTGCCTGCACCACCCCCAACCCTGTGGCACACATTTGTGTCTGGCAGCTGTGGAGAGGCAGCACAGGAAGCAGGAGCCCCGCCACAGTCATGAGGGTTGGTCCTGCATGGTGCTGGCCGAGCTGCGGTCCCTGCAGAGGCCCTGGGCAGGGGACAGTATAGGGGGAGTAGCAGTAGCAGCAGTGCTCAGACACCAGCAGCTCTGCCCCTGCACCATGCTGCCATTGTAGCTGCCTGCTCCCTGCCATCGCCTACCAGCCCCCTACTCCTGCCCTGCCATCACACCATGCCGGCCTTCCACCGCTGTGGTGGGATGAAGAGAACTGTTGTTGCTTCATGTGGCAGAGGGAGGAAGGAAAGGGCAAGGAGGCATGTGTGTATGTATGCACTTGTGCAAGAAGGGCAGGAAGGAGGCAAGTCCCCTCAGGATCTGGCCCCAATAGAGCCCCTGCCCCTAGGGGCAAAGTGTGGGGATGTTGAGCCCCACCTCCCAGCTGCCCTCCCCGATCAGAAATACACAAACACATGTAGTCCAGTAGGGCTGAGGGTCACAGACTCTCTACCTGGGAGTGAGGGGTAGCAGAAGCCTTCCCTGCCCCACTTGGCAGCTCCTGCCTCCCCCCCAGCTGCTTCCTACCATGCCCCAACACCAGGTCTCAGTGCAACTCCCTCTTCCCTTCCTGGCTCCCCCGCAATCTCCTCTGCCCCACCTAAGCTCCAATACAAAGGAATAGGAGAAGTCTGGAGTCAAGATAGGCTTGGGATCAACACCACCACAGAGGAAAGGGAGAGAAGAAACAGCATGGACGGCTTCAGAACAGGACTCCTCCTCTCCCTGTCTAGTCTCCCACCCCTCAAGCTTATTGCTGGTGGCAGCTGCGCACACACCTCTGGGTAGACAGTGGAGAAAGAGCCAGGGATAGCACAGCCCCAGCCCCTTGCCTGCCATGCTCCCCAAGGATGTGCAGCCGGGGCTGCACTCCCACATTAAGGACTGGGCCCCTTGCAGTTCCCCTGCCATCTGCCCTTGGCAGGGCAACATCTTCTACGTTGAGGTTCCAGGGCTCTTTAGTACTCAGCTCAAACACGTTGCCCACCCCTGGATTACCGGGTTGACTTGCATGCAGTGAAGGACTGTGGGTCTCCAGCGCCCGAGGCCAATGCTTGTATTTGCATGCCCCCCCCCCCCCCCCCCCCC